TTTTACATTGGAAACACTTTGGACATTCAAATTGTCCAAGACCATTAGAATGTCCTCCTTCATTGGAGCAGGCAAATGACATTCTTCCAATCTGTCATACATATTGGAAACCACACCAGGTGTGAGGTCATCGAAGCTGGTCAGTCTTTGCTTCAATGTGTCCAATGCAGCCTGTCCAATCTGAGAGGATGGTCTCTTCTCCAATAGGTTGCCCACATGAACCAACTCATTGCAAAAGTCATCTGCAGTCCACCTGTGTGCCATTGCAAGATGAATCCACTTGGTAAGGGAAGCTCTACCCCTAGGTGCAGTCTTGAGCTCCACAAACACTACCAAGTAGTGATTATTGAAAACACTGGTGGCTTGTCGACAGAAAAGCCACCATGGGCTTGGCTGCTAGCCAATGAAGCTACAATGGGCTTACAATGAGGAAAGCACAAATGGCTTTACATTTAGGAAAGCAACAGTGTGCTTGCAGGAAGAATAGCTACAATGAGCTTACAAGAAAAACATCCTCAATGAGCTTTTGCACTGAGGTTGCAGTAAGAAAAACCACAATGGGCTTACAATCTCCATGCACAGTGGCATTGCAAGAAGAAGCAACAATGTGCTTCAAAGCCACAATGGGCTTGCAAGAAAGAAAGTCATAATGGGCTTGCTATCTGAAAGCCACAATGGGCTTGAAGAAAGGACAGCAGTGTATGTGTGAGGGGTTGCCTGGAATGTAAGCCACTCAGGGCTTGAATTGCACTAAGCCACTCAGGACCAGCCACAAAGGCTTGTGGGGAAGACAAGCCACTATGAGCTTGCAATGAAACAGTTCAAGAAAGCTGCCAAGCTCTCAATGCATCTTTTTCCATTTCCCAACACTCAATAGGGCACATATGCCCTCTTGGGGTCCTTTGCTGATGTTTTCAGCAAAGCAGTGTGCTGCTCATAGACATTCTTAAAGTCTACACTCTTCATGAAGACTTCAATCAGTGCATTTGCCCTGGTGTCATTGCCAGCTTTGACCATTGCAGCTAAGGCTACGCATTTATTGAGCCATCCATGTTCAAGTTTCTTGGGAACACTGCTTGGTGGTGGCATTGATGTAGTACCCTTTGTTGCAGTACCCTTTGTCGCAGTGCCCTTTGGTCCCTTGACCATCTTGCCCTTCTTGGCAGTTGGGCCAGTAGTTCCAGGGGGCGCTGGAGGTCCCTGCTTGGCAGTTGTGCCAGGTAACACTGCTGGCGCTGCAGTGGGTGGTGGTGGCACTGCTGTTGCTGGTTCAGTAGGTGGGCCTGGCATTGCTGGAGGTGGTGCAGTAGGTGGAGCTGGCACTGGCACTGCTTGCACTGCAGTAGGTGGGCCTGGTGCAGTTTTCTTTGCAGTAGAAGGCCTACTGCCTGAGCTGGCATAGCCTTTGCCAGTACCCACATTGTATTTTCTCTTCAATCCACTGGGCTGTGGATCAGTGGGCAATTCCTTCTTGACCTTGGTGAGGAGCTCCTTTTTGATCATTGTTTTCTCTTTCACTTCCTTCTTGACAATGGCTTGCTGGAGACATTCCTTTTCTTCGTCACTCTCAATGACCACCTCCTCATACTCTTCAGGCACCATTCCAAAGAGGTCACTGAGATTTGCCACATCTCCAGCCTGGCTGTACCACTTCTTCTCTTCAAAGTCCACTGTAGCCACACTGGGTGGCACCACTGTGGGTTCCACAGTGTTCACTTCTGTAGGTGGCAGTGTGTCAGGCAGTGACCCATTCTCTGATGGTTCAGTGGGGCTGTCCATTGTCTCTTCATTGGCCACTGCTTTCACCTCCATTGCCTCAGCTTCCACCTCCATGTCTTCAGTGACATAGCCTCCACTGCTTCCATCTCCTGGAGGTGTGGCCATTGCTGCAAATGGCACTGTGGTGAAACTGGTGTGAAACTTATGATATGTTTTCAGTGCTGCAGTTGTGTATTGTTTGTCTTGTATTCATTTCTATGTATTACAAATATAGTTAGTTATACCAATGTACATTTAAATTGGTCTATCACACAGTCTGCTTCAAGTGGTGAGATTTTATTGATTGTCTTAAACAGACATTTGAAGTATATTTGCCTATTTTCTTTCAATGATCTCAAGAGGTCATATATATAAACATTAATGTCTAAATTTTGTTTTTCTGTTCTAACATTTTATTATTGCAGTGTTGATTATTTGTTTTCAAAAAATATTAATATATATAGTAAATATATATATTGATATATAATATTTACTATAATATATATTTTTTACAATAAAAATAAATTTTGAGTTGATTTGTTTAAGTGTAGTTTCCACAGTTGAAGTTTGAGTCAAGTTCAAAAAAACATATACGAACAAAACATTTTACTATGTATATAAATTTTTTGTTGTCAATATTGAATGTAAACTATATATATATAGTCAACTGTTGGAATATTTTTTAAAAAATATTATATAAATGTTTTGTTTAGAGTCAAAAAAAATAAATATTTTTAGTTCAAATATAAATAGATAAATTGTATATAAATAAAACAAAAATATAATTGTAAAGTTAGATTCAGCAGCTGAATTTAACTTCAAAATTTTTTGGAGTTAGATTTAGCAGCTGAATCTAACTTCAAAATTTTCATTGTTAGATTCAGCAGCTGAATCTAACTCCAAAATTTTTTGAAGTTAGATTCAGCAGCTGAATCTAACTTCAAAAAATTCTGGAGTTAGATTCAGCTGCTGAATCTAGCTTC